CTACTTTGTTAGAAGTAAGTAGTTTGTATTACTAATGCTAAGATTACTTTAATCAACCATCTCATGTCTTTAGCTCCTCCAGTGAAAACTATAATTTGGGTGTCATCCTTGGCAGTTCCTTGTCTTTTGACAATAGTTGTAAAATTCTTGTTCGGAACTGTTTTTATCATTTAAGGAACATCTCTGCGTTGAGACCTTTTGTGTCACAGACTGAGCTAGAGACGGTTATTCCTACTTTTATTTCCTCCTGATTAGACCATTGTAAGAGTCTTTGTATTTGTTTTGATGAAACCTCCCTGGCTCGCCTTCAGTCCGTACAGTCTGCTGACTAAACCTGACAGAAGAGCACAGAACTCTTGTTCTTGCCTCCCTGCACTGGCTTCCTGTGCACTTGAGGATTAATTTTTAAATTATGGCTTGACCTTTCAAAGCTATCCACAGCAGGCTCTTAAATACATTCTTGACCTTCTGGATCCTTCAGCTTCGTCTAGGTCTCTGAGGTCTCTGAGTCAAATGTTATTGTCTGTACGCCGAACCCATTTTAAAACCCGCGGAGGCCGCACTTATTGGGCGGTGGCTCCGAGGCTCTGGAACTACGCTGCACAGACTCTTAAGAAACAAATACATTTTTATTCAGACAGGCTTTTGCTTTGTTTTTTGTTTGTTTGTTTGTTTGTTGGTTTGTTTTAATTGTCTTGCCTTTCTGATCAATGTGTGTGTGAAAGGTGCTATAGAAATAAAGTTTTACTTTTTACTATCCCTCCCCTGCAGTTATTCACTTATCGTGAGGGGCGTGGCCCCTAAACCTGGCGATAAATGAGGGATAAACAAGGGGTATTAATATTTATCAAGGATTATTTAAACTGTTTATATTAATGTTTATCTAGGAATATTTAAATTGTTTAATAGTAATATATAGAGTATTATTTAAATTGGTTGATATTGATATTAATTTATCAGGATGTGTCTGTGAAGTTGATTTCAGATCATTTATAGAAACAAAGTTTTTGCTCAACCGCTCATCTCAAGTTATTATAATTAGTAGTTTAAAAAGTATTTTTCCATTAACGGTTGTAGAAAGTACATAGAAAATGTAAATAACTTTGTATTTTTACACATGTGAGGTGAACTTAAACAAACTTAACACGCGTTAAAATATTTGAATGAACTCACAGGAAGCTCTGAGTAAAATCTCTGAATGTTCTTCAGAACAATAAAACAGAACCAATGTTCTTCTCACGGTTTTATTCTCTGGTTTTTCTGCTGGGAGGTTCTCAGGTGGGTTTCTTTTTCTTCTTCAGTCCCAGGAGTCTCCACAGCGCGGTCATGGGTTTGGTTTGATGGGTTTGGTTCTGGACTCTGGGTTCTTCTCCCTTTGGGTTCACCTCCTGCTCTGAGACCACGCTGGGCTCCATCGGCTCTGTGGGTTCTGGTCCAAAGCTCTGGGTTCTGCGGTCCTGAGCAGAATCAAGCGGGGTGCTCGTCTCGGTGAGGTTTGGCTGGTCCTGTGAGGTTCTGGTCCGGTCCAAAGCAGTCCTCAGCTCTCTGATGACAGATATATCTTTGAACGCTCTTTCTGCGTGAACTCTTCTCTCGTGGTTCAGATGTTTCCGGTTCTGGTCCAGTTCTTGTTGAAGAGCTGTGTTCTTGTCTTTTTCTCTCTTGCACGCAGCTTTTAAGTCCTCGTAGTCTCTATGCGTATTCCAGACGTCCTGGAGGTCCAGGTGTCTTCGTGCTTCTCGCTCCACACACTCTTTGAGCTGCTCGCAGGTCCGACTCAGTTCTTGGACCAGTTTCTTCAGACTGAGCCTCCTGCTGTTGTTTTGTCTCTCTGCAGCCGCGCCGTGCTCCGTCTCGTGAGCTTGTTGCCGAAGAGGGCGATGGTCTCTCCTGGTGGCGAGCTCGTGGAACCGCGGAGCGAACTTGTGGACACGTGGAGCTGGCTCTTGGACACGTGGAGCAGGCTCTTGGACATGTGGAGCAGGCTC